CAGGCGACTCGTAGCGACCCTATGAACCAAAGTCCTGGACACCTGTATAACTTTCGTCCTCTTTCCAGGTTCATAGGGTTTCCAGAGGCAAGAAGGATTTTAAGCTAGGGCCCGAAGCAGGCTCCGCAGGCTCGACTCCACCCTTACTTACCCTTACGCTAAGGGTCAGGGCCGCCCATGCAGCTTTGAAAGCCCAAAAGGACAGTAACACACAACGCTCCTTCCACAGCCTCTGAGAACCCACTGGAGAGTCAGCTATGTGTGACTCAGTTCTGACTGGAGCCCATGAGCTTTGTTTTGGTTTTAATCCCTTGTTTGCAGACACACGGAGGGTTCCCTGGAAACACAACGATGGCCCTTTTTTTTATTCTGCATATGTAATTCTGGGGCCATATCATCTGCATTTGTAACTGCAACTACCACCAGCTTGCTGACAACTTCCTTATCTAGATGTAAGTAACAAGTGTGCATTTCTAACTACTTCCTCGACTTCTTCCATCTGTTGAATGTTGTTGTTGTTAGGTGCTGTCAAGTTGAGTACAAGTCATAACAATCCTATGAACAAAAGATATGATCCCTGCTCTATCCTGCGCCATCCTCACTTTTCCTAACACACAAGAGCACATTGCTGCAGTCACCCTGTTAATCCACCTGATGGAGGGTCTTCCTCTCCTTCACTGGCCCTCCACCCTACCCAGCATCGTCGAGCAGCATTGAGGCAACTGAATGCTCCTCTAAACACCTGTCTCTTAGACAAGCCATTATTTCATTTATTCTTACCCATTTTCCAAGGTACCTGGCTGGCCCAATGGCCCCTTGCCCAGACCCCTCACAGACATCCTTTTTAATCGCTTTGCCCATCTCGGAAGTGTTCCTCCTCCTCTTGACCTTCAAGTTAAGCCCTCATTGTTTCATTCGCAGATTTCTATAAAGATCAGAGCTGAGGATGGGTAGGGGTGAAACCTCAGGATTGCAGTTTGGTGAGTGGAGGGAAAGAAGAAAGGAAATGGGAAGGATCTGGGAGAAAAGACAGTAAAGATGGGCAAGGTCCAATAGTGACTAATTTTATAAAACATAACCTATGAGAATGATTGTAGGAAACACAATGTGAAGGAAGAATTGTGTGAAACACAATATATATGAACTTTGTAAACAAGCCGATTTCTTTTTTTTTAAAGTCATTATAGAAAAAAAAAAAAAAAAGTCTTGCTGCGTCTTGCCTCTGGCTTCCCGGCCTTCCATTGCCCCTGAATGACTCTTAATCATTAAAAATCACATTAGTCTTACTTATTTAAAATCCTTCTGTGTATCTCCATTTTCTGCGTGATACAGTGTGAATTCCAAAGTGTGGCACCCAAGGCCATGCCTGAAGTTGCCTCTGCTGCTCTTTAGTCTTTTCCTTTATTTCTGTGTCCTTGCTTTGGGCAGAATAGTTTATGACCAGTTTTCCAAACATGGAGAAAAAATGGCATGCCTTTGCAACGCTGTTCCCACCTGTCTACAGCACGTTCTCTCTGAGGCTCTGAAGTCATTCTTCAAGACATTCATCAAGTGTTCTAGAAACCTTCCCTTACTGCAACCTTTACTCTCACCCGAACAAGTTACTATTGATCATCAGATTCCAGTAGAAACATAAATTTTCTTTTTATAATACTTGATATTATTTTGTCATTCCTTGACCCATCAGCTTCCTCAGGACCAGGACTGCATCTAAAACCATGCAGCATACATATTGTTTTCTTAGCAAAAACATAATTACATCCTTAGATGGTCTCTTCACTGTCTTTTGGGCATTGTTTTCCCTTGTGTCTCTTAAACCATTTTCATCCTCCTCCTGAAAAAGACTTCATGTTACCTTGCAACGTATTAGACATTCATAGCTTGAAGAGTCTAATTTTATAATAATTATCAATAGGAAGAAAAGAATAAGTTGTCATGTCAAATAGTATGTTGTTGTTTTTGCTGTTATGTGCTGTCGAGTCGCTTGCGACTCATAGCGACTCTATGTACAACAGCCCTAAACTCTGCTCTGTCTTGTGCCAATTGCACCTTCTCTGACACACCCATCCAGATTACCCCAATCACTGAATCAATCCACCTCATAGGGGGCCTTCCCCTTCTGCACTGTCCCTCCACCCTACCAAGCATGATGTCCCTCTCCAAGGACCTGACCCTCCTTGCAACATGTCCAAAGTATGTTAGACGGAGCCTCAGAGTCCTTGCCTCCAAGGAGCAGCCCAGTTTGACCCTTTCCAGGATGAATCTGTTTTTCTAGCAGTCCATGGTAACCTCAATACTCTTCTCCAGCACCACGGCTCAAAAGCATCAATTCTCCTTATATCCTCCTTAGTCATTGTCCAACTCTCTGATGCATAACAAGTGATAGCAAAGACCATGGCCTGTATCAAACGCAGCTTGGTCTCCAAAGAGACACCATTGCTCTTCAGTACTTTGGAGAGGTCCCTAACAGCAGACTTTCCCATGGCAATACGTCTTCTAATTTCCTGGCTGCTGGTGCTGAGAGTGTTGACTGTGGAGCCAAGCAAACTGAAGCTGTGAGCAATCTCTTCACCATCCATCCTGATGCTGCCAATTGGCCCAGTGGTGAGAATGTTTATCTTCTTGTCACATAGTATAATCTTAATTATTAAAATCCGCTAACCAAACCCATTGCCATGCAATCAAGTTCTGCTCTTGGGACCTTCCATTGGTTCCCCAAGGCTGTCAATTTTCCTAAGAGGACACTGACTGACCATTTTTAACCCAAAGAGCAGCTGTGGATTCCAACTACTGGCCTCATGGTTGGCAGCCAGAACTGTTACCCCAAAAGAAAAGGAAGACATACCTTTGAATAGTGAGGAAAGAAAGACCTATGCAAAGGCAATCTTTTTTTTTTTAAATGTTTTTACTTCTTTTATTTTATATTGATTTCTTTACAAAGTTCTAAGACATTGTTTTTCACACTGGGTTTTTCCCATTTCCTTCACACACACCACCACTCATCAGACTGTGCGACTCTATGATTAACCACCCCCCATCCTCACCCTCTCTCTGTTTTTTTAATATAAATTACAAAGGCTATCTTTAATTGTACTTTGATGTCCTTCTCCAAACTAAATTATCTTATTTTAGTTGTCACTTTTGATAAACATCACAGATTGGATATACTGATTTAATATCAAGTCAAATTGGGATTTTAAAAAAAGCAGCTATTTGGCATCAGAAAACTGAGTCTTTGTGCCATTAGTTGCCAGAACTGTGACTTCAGGAAAGAGAAGTCCTTAAGGCTCAGGTTCCTTAAATGTAAATTGGGCCTGGTAGGAAGCAATTGTGATACCTTATGCAAAAAGGCTTAGTGCAATACCTGATACAAGCAGGTATTATTAATACCAATTATACTAATAAATATTACTTACACCACACGGTTACTCTGTGATACTCAGCTTCAGACAACTTTGCAAACAGGAAAGTGCGATGCAAATATTTAATATTATGACTTCCATAATTACCACGTATTTTTGACCTTTCCCAAAATAAAGCAATGTTCTAAAAAACACCAGTTTTTGAGATTCGCGTTGGTTGGTAGCTGGTGAGGAGCCAACAACCCTGCCCTGAATGGGTATCTTTTATGGAACCAGGATGCTGAGACTGGGCGCCAATTAAAGAGTGACACAGGCAAGACCTCCCAGGAGTAAAGGCCTAGCTGTCCTTTACCCCATTTAGGTCAGTAAAAACGGACAGAAAGCTTCTCTTTTGTGGTCTTCACCGTGCAGATGGCCTGGAAAAGCTATCTCTGCTGTGTGGCCGCGGGGTAGCTGGGCTCGGTGTGAGTCCGCGCTTCAAGTGCCCACTGTTACCTCCTGAGCAACCTCGCCTCCCACCAGCCGGGCGCTGCACACGCCCCCTGGTGTCCAGTGCATTGTTCTGCCCACTTCCCCTTGTCAGGGCTCAGGTCACCAGAAATAGAATCACAAAAGGAAACTCCAGGTGGTCATGGCACTGGGACTGGGAAATGTGCCCGCGAGGCTGGCTTCTGTAGGGGCTCCGCCCAAGGCCAAGGGCCTGCAGGTGTGTGCGGAATAAATGTCTGCACAAAGCACCACCTGTCCAGGTTTGCGCTGAAAGTGTCATTTTGAAATATACAATTACACTGCTTAAGCTCTACAGGAATCAAACAGTTGAGAGAGCGAGACTCATTTGTGTGTTGTTGTTATTTTTAAGAACACGCACCTGACTTTTATATTTTGGAGTTGAGCACGAGCGTCAAAAAGCAGTCGAGCCAGGAGAAGGGCTTTTGCAAAAAGTCTCCGGCCAACGTAATTTCGGGGTGAAGAGTCCCAGCCCCGCTTCTGGTTCAATTCGGGACACCAGGGTCGTGCGCCAGCGAGCTCCCGTTTCCCCCCTCCCCTCCGGCCCGAGGACAGAGCGGTCCCCACTCCTGTCCCCAACCCCTGGGACGCTTGCAGGATGCAAAACAGGACGGGTGCTGGGTCGCTGCAGCCCGAGCAGCCCTGACTGGGCGCCCCCAAAGCCACCACACTCCCAGGGGCGCCGCCGTGGCGAACTGCGCGTCCGGCCACTCAGGGCCCGGGCCAGGCGGTGGCGCCTCGCGCACGCGCAGTCCGCGGCCCCGCGCCCGCTCCCCAACATTGCAGTCCACGTGTTGCTTGTTGGAGGCGCCACAGGTCTCCCACCTGCGCGGGCGCTCGGGGCGCTCCGCCTCCGCCGGCGGGCGCGGGGACCCGGACCGGGGGTGCAATCGCGCCGGCTGATTCTCCGGGCTCGGCTCGGGCGGCGCTAACTCCGCCTCCTGCTCCCGCGGCTCCGCGCTCCCCGCCGGCCCGCCTCCCGCTCCGCCCGCCCCGGCGCCTGGGTGTCAGGAGCGCTCCCGGCTACAACTCGACGTGTCCGGAAAGCTCCGCCACTTTCCCTTCCGCTCTGCGGCCGCGCGGCCACCTCCACGCTCGCCGGGACTCCAGGGCGCCGCCCGGCGAGGTGAGGTCCCCCGCGCACCATGCTGGACCCGTCCTCCAGCGAAGAGGAGTCGGACGAGGGGCTGGAAGAGGAGAGCCGTGATGTGCTGGGGGCGCCCGGGCCGCAGCGAGCGCCAGCGGCCCCGGCTCGGGAAGGGCGGCGGGACGCGGCGGGGCGCGCGGGCGGCGGCGCGGCCAGACCCCGGAGCCCGAGCCCCTCGATGCGGAGCGAGGCGCGCGAAGAGCCGGAGCGGCAGCTGGACGAGGAACAGGAGCGGCGCATCCGCCTGCAGCTCTACGTCCTGGTGGTGCGGTGCATCGCGTACCCCTTCAACGCCAAGCAGCCCACCGACATGGCCCGGAGGCAGCAGAAGGTGAGTTGCCGAGCCGGCGCCTCCTGCTGCCGCTTGTCCCTGGGGCTCCTGCCCCGCAGTTCGCAGGCGAGAAGCACGGCGTGATGTTTTCATTGGGGTTTGAGGGGGCAGAGGCATCTTTCGGGGAGACGGTGCATTCGTCCGCCAGCAGCGCCTTGCAGCGGGCACGTCTTCTCCCCCGGGTGGCAGGAGCTGTCAGCTCGCCATCCGAGCGCCTGAGACCGTAGCGTCGGGGTGCGGGGTGCGCCCCTCGCCGCGTGGGTTCGGGCCGGATCAGAATGCCGCTCCCGGGTAACTTTCGCGGCCCACGGCGGCGCCGCTGCCCACCGAGCCGGGGTCAGGACTGCGGGAGCTGGACTTGGCCGCGCGTCCCAGTGAGCACGGGGCTGGAGGAAACAGGTGGAGGCAGCAGGGAGCTTGCTTGTATGCGTTAGGGAGAAGTCTGCAGGAGAGCAAATGGCAGAGGATTTTCCTCCGTGAATCAAAAAGTTAAGTCGACAAGTTTATCTTGCCACAGGAGTCGTGCATCAGATCCGCGCACTCAAGAGGGCATACCTCTATAGCATGTCTCAGGGTGAATCATTCCTGGTCCAGGGAGACCTGATGAAAACTCAGCCTGGATAAAATAACAAATGCGGCTGCTTTTTCTTCTGTTCTTGCCTTCCCCCCCTTCCCCTCCATCTCCCCAAAGGGGTAAAGAGTTTGTTTCAGGTGAAATGTCAGCCTATTTTAGTTTTCAGGCTGATCCTCAGGGCTCTAATGCTCCCTAGCAGACACACCTGAAGAGGTAAATTGCTCTAATTGGGTAAATGTTTGCAAGGGGAACTGTGGAGGAAATCTTTCAGTAATAGAACCCAGAGCTGGGAACGAAAGCCCTAACGGTTCCTTCAGTTTTCAGCAAGACACAGAAACCTAGGGAGATTGCAGTGTGCCCAAGGCGTGGGTAGTTGCAAAGACATTTATTAGTTTTCTGAAATATTACCTCCAGCCCGTGAGCCTTTTTAAATTTTTTTTAAGAAATCTGGAGAGCCTTTGAATTGACTTGAAATACAACAGTTGTTCTGTATTAAGCAGCACCCGCCTTTTCCCTTAAACAGGCTCAAGTGAACAGCAGTGAGAGAGCCTTTCATTCTGCTGCCTCTTTCAGCTAAAGACACAGGTGCCCCAGGGCACCCACCTCTCCAGGAATCCCTGGAGAATTGGGAACACCTAGTCAGATCTCCCTCACTTTGGAGAAGTGAGTGAGAGTGTTTTAAAATCCAAACCCAGTCGGCATGGTTGAAGCCACCATTCCTCAGGTCAATTTTAAGTACCCTGTGGGCGTTATGGATGGTGTAATGGTTAAAATGCTGACTTTAAGGTCAGCAGTTCAAAGCCATCAAGCCATCACTTGCTTCACAGAGACAGGTGAGGTAGTCTCTTCCCTTAAAGACTGCTGGCTGGGAAAACCCTATGAGGCATTTCCACTCTGTCATTCAGGTTTGCTGTGAGGGGGGATTCATCCCAAGTCAATGGGCTCCTTCTCCCTCCACCCCTGAGGAATTCCAGGAAAAGGCCTGGTGATATAATATGGTAAGGACTGGGTTGCTAAACAAAAGGTTGGCAGTTCTTTGCTGGAGTGTCTTCCTGTGAACATTGAGGAACCCTGTAGTCAGAACCAGCACATTGCTCATCCTCCAGTGGGTTTTCAGAGGCAGTAAATTGCCCCTCTTTTACCACAGAGCAGACGGTGGAGTTGAACTGCGTACCTTTGGGTTGGCAGTGCAGCTCCATACCATTGGATCACCAGAGCTCCCTGAAAGAGGTCAACAACATAAGTCAGAATCAACTCTTAGGGGTTGGGCTTGTTTTGGGGTTTTCAGAGAGTGCCACAATTCCTACTCCAGTCTCTTTGAAGCCCTCATCCATCTCTGCAGCTTGGTAGGTCGAGCAACTTTCCACTAATCTAAGCAAATGTCCTATTTGACAGGTATTGATAGGTGACCGTGTAAAGCATCTGAACAACATGCACTCTCCAGTTTAATCACCCACCTAGCATTTAAGCTGATTCTGAATGTATTAAAGTATAAAAATAATGCATGGTGAAGTTAAGAGGCTATTCTTGTTTGAAATATTATCCTTGAAAAAAGCTTTGGCAAAAAGTCATTTACTGGGAGCTTATTTATAGCGTTTTGAACACTTGTTACATATTGTAAATGAAACAAACTCTGCCTTATTCAAATAGTGCAGCTCTCCCTGACTCTCCCTGTTTGAATAGAATGTTTGTGCCTCCAGAAATTATTTGAGTTGGCAAGCAGGTGCGTTCACAATACTGCAGAGGAAACCACTGATCAGACCTCATCCAGGCTTTCCCCCAAATCATTCTAAACCATAAGGAAAGGAGGACAACACTGCATATATTATTCTACACAGGAAGATTCTGAGTTGGAGATGTCTATTTCCTCTCAGTTGAAAGCTGTCATATGAGCTTATGTGGGACATTTCCATTTTTGACTAGGGAGGAAGCCTTATAAACACCTATTTGCCTTACGTTTCCAAAACTTACTCAAAAGATCCTTCAATCTCTCTCTCTCTCTCTTAAATATACGGTTTGCTGAAGAAAGCTGGAGCAATTCTTGGCAGTAAAGTTTTTCCTCCTAGGACAAAATGAAGTTGGGATTTAACTATATTCCTGTGAATTTGATGCCAATAATTAATGCCAGAAAGCTAGCTTTGAGTCTTGAATCATGCAGTTGGGTTCTATAAAAGAAGTAACAGGATAATTGCAAAATCATTAATCTATTGTATATTTTTATTCTCTTATTTTCAAGTAGTCAGACAACCAGTAAAAGGATTTAATAGCTTAAATTGTTGTCATTGAAATGCATATCACTGCTTACTCACTGCTCTCTAATTTAGAAAGTAAAAAATTCAGATCTGGAAGGGACCGGTCCTTGGAGAAGAACATCATGCTTGGGAGGGTGGAGGGACAACGCAGGAGGGGAAGGCCCTCTATGAGGTGGATTGATTCAGTGACTGGGATAATTGGGATGGGTGTGTCAGAGACAGTTCGATTGGCACAGGACAGAGCAGAGTTTAGGGCTGTTGTACATAGGGTCTCTGTGAGTTGCAAGCGACTCGACGACACTTAACAATAACAAGGGTCATCACTTCATAAGTGAAGGAAATGAATTCCGAGGAGGTAAGAGACTTAGGGACTCAGAGTTCTATCAGTAGCAGCCTCCCTGCAGGGCTTTGGTCTTTCGTTAGAGCTAACCCCAAGTGCTAGTTATTATTATTATTATTGTTGTTACCTGGCCAAAATGATCTACCAAGCCAGTAGAGGCTGTGTCCATGAGCTGTTTGAGAAAGCTTAATAACATTGAATTTGGTTGGAGGATTTAGGAATATCAGTGGTCAGTTTATGCTGGTCTGGGCTTCTGGTCAACCGGTGATGATTTACAGGAAATTCTGAGTTTGAGTGTGGGCCAGACTCATAAGATCAGTGCCCCTGAGTGAACATACCTATGACTTCATACATGATTAACGTGTCAGGTTCCAAATAGCTGTCACGAGTGACGAAGGAAGAATAGTACTTGCTCCTCTGATGCTTATTTATTCCCTTGGCTACTTTTGGACATGTTGTGGGGAGAGACTGGTCCTTGGAGAGGGACGTCATGCTTGGGAGGGTGGAGGGACAGCGCAGGAGGGGAAGGCCCTCTATGAGGTGGATTGATTCAGTGACTGGGATAATCAGGATGGGAGTGTCAGAGACAGTGCAATTGGCACAGGACAGAGCAGAGTTTAGGGCTGTTGTACATAGGGTCGCTATGAGTTGCAGGTGACTCGATGGCACATAACAACAACAACAAACCTTTGTACCTTCAGTCATCGTAGTGCTACAAGCAGTGATCGTGAACTTCAGATGACTCTAGATCATCGGATAAGGCTCATCATTGCTGAAGCTAGAGCAAAGCAGGTATTACCGATGAAAGGCAACCTGCTGTTCAGATCTTGGGAAGACATTAGGATCCTGGAAGAAAAAAAAAATAATGAAAGTGGTGTGCCTGGTGGTTGAAGAGACGCCGCGGTAGCGAAGTGGTTAAAGAGCTCAGCTACTAACCAGAAGGTGGGTGGTTGGAGCCCACCAGCTGCTCCTGGGGAGAAATGCAGTGCAGTCGGCTCTGAAGATTTACAGCCGTGGAAACCGTATGGGTGGTTCTGCTCTGTCGTGTCCTTATGAGTTGGAATCAGCTCGGCCGTGGGCTTTGTTTGGGGGTTTTGAAGGACCAGTGTACAGAACAGGAAGATGAATATGTCCTCCTGTGTGATTACTGCCTCTGAAAACCCACTGGGCAGGAGGCGGATTTGAACCTTTGCATTCAGGATTGCAGCGCAGGTTCTTACCAGTAGGCCACCAGAGCTCCTACTTGATGGAAATCAAGATGGCCAACTCTGTATTAAGATCTGAAAATGTCATGACAGTGTTGTTACCTGTTCGTACAGGACCAGTGACATATTCCCAAAAAGTGACACATTCCCTAAAAAGTGGCACATTCCCAAACTGCAAGGATGGAGCAGTGAGTTGAAGTCCTGCCTTCATTCCTTCCATTTCTAGACTGTGAATAGACCAAAAGGCCACCCCCTTGGGATTTAGGATCATTTATCCCTGTGCCCCTCAGGCTTTGGTATGTTATTACTGTTTGGTACAAACACAGAAGTCAAGGGTGATGTTGTTTGCTGCTTTTAATAATAGGGAATGCATTGTCCTGTGGGGAGCGAGATGGAAACCACACATTAAAGGAGAGCCTCAGACTGGACTTAAAACATTATCTCAGAGAAAAACGGCCTGTTGTTCCAACCGATTTCTCCAACCCTCCACAGGGCATCTTGAAATCACAGCACTTTGTTTGGTGGAATGAGTTGTGCTAATGAGAACTCAAATGGATTAAGTGATTTTGGGGTTTGCTTCTTTCCGAAAGGAAGTCAGCTGTAATTTCAATACACAATGCTTACACAAG